TACTCCCTCTTCCCCTCAATGTGCAGTGGCCCCAGAGTGGAAAAAGCCATAGAAAGAAGGAACAATAGGAGCCTGGGTAATTATTGACCCTGTGGGAAATTAATTTGGACTAAAGTGTATCAGATTAAGACATCCATTGCTTCTCTCCCTTTCTCACTGGTTCCTGACTTCGTCTCATGTTTCCGAAGGCATTGAATACTCTTTTCCTACGATTTGCTGCTGCTGTGTGTTCTTAAGCTAAATTGGCAAGTGTCCCGACACACACACAAGCATGGAATTAACATTGTGCCGTGACATTTTGGTTTGCAAATCTTTTTAATAGTGGAGAAAGGAGTCCCACCTTACACACTAACAATCACCTCCACGCATATCAGAGGAAACCTGCAACATCCGCACTCCTCGTCCTCTAGGTAACGAGTGGAAGTTCATTGCGTTTTATGAGTGTTACAGCAGGAGTGCCCAGAAACCCCTCTTACCTGTTACAAGAATGTCTATTCATGGACTGGATTCAAGGTGAAAACTAAGCTCAATTGGCTGTCCCATAGAAATGTGTTTGTGGGGTCTACCTGCAGCTCTAGAAGTGGACTTCCTCATGTCCCTTTGTGGGGCAAATGTGGATCTGCAGGCTCTGGAGACTGGCTTCGGAGCCTTGCTCTGGAGGTAGAAACGACATAGCAAAAACTCTACTAGAACTAAGTTAGTGCGAGTTAGCACTGGAGGCCCCGGCCTCCCAACTCACAACCTTAACCAACAGTTCTCCCAACCAGCAAATTCATTCACATCTAAGAATCTAGGATGAAGGGGTCAGAAAAGTTTATTTAATGATTAACGTGTCAACTACTGCCAATGCAGATCAGCATCTAAGAGATTGGTTTGGTCACGGGAGCTCTCAAAAGGCTGTGTGCAAAGGCAGTAAAACTGACCTGTACACGGGAAACAGGGGCCTCACCTACAGTTACCTATTATAGCCCGCAGACTTTCGGGCATCCCTTCACCTGTGCTTTTTCATGACGGTTCTCATGGCCAGAAAAATCTGGTTGGCAAAACCCCACTGTTTAAAAGCTATGTGTCACCAAAATTAAACCACGCTCTGAAATCAAATCAAATTGAAAGAGAAACAGGTAGGTAGCTCAAGTTCAAGGAAAATGTGGATGTATTTATTTATAAACTGCTATGCTCTGCCTAGAACTGTCGTATTTACTTGGTCCTTCAGCCATCTGTGGTGCTTCCCCTTCCCTCCTGCACCCTGGGCATCTTCACAGATCTGGTCATTTCCTCACTGTATGGCTGCAGACATGTTCTTCCGGCCCTTCTTCTGCTTCTAAAATTCCCTCAACAATGCAGTCAGGAATGTTATCCCCGTACTTCAGAAAACAAGGGTCGAGTTCATCCTCCATGACAGTGTCCTCCAACTTCTACATCCTTCCCCAGGCCCGCTCTCAGCACTGGGAACAGTAGTCACCGTCGGCTGGGCAATTTCCCTATAATCTAAGTAGGCTTCCGCCCTAGTGCCTACCATTTCCAAATGCGCAGCTTCCCGGCCTTCCCAGATTTCCAAAGATACCTGTGGACTCTGGACGCATTTCACTGACGGTTAAACTATCTTAGGGACCCGCGCTGTCTCTTTTATATCCCTCTGTACCATGTGACTTCGATTCTCAGATCTCAGAAGGCAGGGTCAAGTGGTGACTTAATTAGTATCAGAAAAGCAGGAGCAGCAAGATGCTTCAGAAATGCTCTTTGAAAGTTAGTGGAGAAGGAAGTGGATTTAAAGCAGAACAAGAGTGAGGAGGAGTCACACTGGGCTCTCACCTCTTCTCTGGAGGCCTGGGTATGAGCCCATTCACTGGTAGACAACAGCACGCCACGTAGGCCATCCCGGAGGACTCACACAAATAACGTTTTACGTTTTCACAGGGCTCTTCTTCCCTTCCTGAGGGACATTCCCGCACATGGTCACATCTGATTCTCACAACTAGATCTCCTAGGAGGTGGGCAGGGGAGGTCTGTTCTCATTTGGGCGATGGGGAGAATGAGGTTCAGAGAAGGAACCTGACACCGTGAGTTGGTGACAGAGTAGACTCTGCAGACAACCATCTCTCCAATCTTCTCTACAACGCCGAATCAAATTTATAGTTTGTGTTAAGAACTTGTAAAATAGGAAAGCAGACATAAAATATAACTTTTCACTTTTATGTGCTTCAACAAATGGAACTCCAAAGCCACACAGGTCAACAAGAGGACCTCTCTTCGAAGGAGATCAATGAACTGAGCAATCTGAAGGCCCACTGGGTATGGCGCTACCCACAGCTAGTTTGTTCCGAGTCTGGAGATGGTAAAACTCTCGCGGCAAGTGTTGAGAGGGAACAAGGGCAAGCTGAGTGTGCTTGTGACCAACAACAGACCACTGGGGACCCTGCTCACACCGCACACACTACACACGCCACTGTTTGTGTCATCTTTGGTCTTGACATCCGTTAAAGGTGTATCGGTTCTATGAATACAAACACAGGTAGAATCCCTTTATGTAGTTGGAAAGGCATCAACATTGCTGCTGTGGTCAACCCCCACATGAAGCAGAGACCTGCCTCTGTAATGGACAAAGGAAGTAACCATGTTCAGTCCACTCTACACGCGAACACTTACAACACTGAGCAGAACGGGGAAGAAAGGGGCCATGTATGCCATTTGCTGTCATGTGACTTAAATTCATTATAAGGTGTCCATAATAAAATTACGCTTGGATATCTGGAACTCTTAATACCATATTTAGGAAGCCTGGTGTCTTCGAGTGGCATGCAAAGAGAATCCTCCATTTTGGGGAGAGTCTGGTATTAAACCAAGACCAAGAGGTAAAAACTCAAACCTGGAAGGGGCATTTTCTCCCATGCTCTTTGGAGCCTCTGGGGGTCACCTGACAAGGAGCCGCCAGTCCTTCATTGAACATCCTCTATTGGGTCTTATTCTCTGTATCCCTTCTCTTTCAGAGGCCTACCGACAACAAATGGGTACATCCCCACTTCCCGGAATCAACTTGCCCTGTAGTGAAGGACTCTACGTTTGTACAACAGGCTTAATGAAGGAAGTATGGAAACGTGATCTGGAATCCAATGACTACACTTTAGAAACCTGTTTTAGTTGCTTCAGGGTTCTTAGAACTTGACACAGATACAAAGGTTTTGATTAGTGAGTGCTCCAAATTCTACCTGTTCATCTGAAAGGTCTTAGTTGATCTCACAAAAAGAAATTCATGATGGGAATCTCTTACCTAAGCCTACTTTTCTTCTGAGTCTCACTCAGGGATCCTTGTCCCTAGAGTCCTTACTCTAACTTGGGGAGCAGGGAAATAATTACTTTAGAAGTAAAACTGAAGCGAGAAGATTCCCCTCTTTCAGGCCCAAAGGGCCAGAGAGTTTGAACAGTTGCTCAACAAAGAAGTTATACAATAAAATCAGGAATGAGAAGCCTCTCCTTTCCCTCGTGGTCTCAAAGTGCTGATTTACATTTCCTGACTCATCATGGAGAGGATGAATTCAACTCAATTTCATTTCCAGATCTTGAACCCAGAAAATGTGATCACCAGGGACCGATTCATAACGATTGGCAGGCCCTTGGAATTCTGACAAAGAATTTTGCTTCGTAAGATGTCACATTCAATCAGCATTTGTGAGCAAGTCATCAGCAAAGGACAAGGATTGGTTAGGACCTCTGGAAAGCCCCCTTCTAAAGGACTCGCCTTAATGATATGCACCAAAATGGGGTTCTCCCTGGAGTTACATGTGCCCAATGAATGAACAGCAAATACAATTCAGAAATAAATCTAAACTTCGATATGTATTTTGAATAATCCAATAAATATTAAGCTTCCCCCAGTCCATTTGAGAGCTGTTTTTTTTTCTTTTCCCTAGAACAAAATGAAACCTTCAACATACTCTTCCATTGAAAAAGCCAAAGATGCATTTCACAGACATAAAGGTGAAGGGCCCTTGGAGCTGTAGCACCAGAAGAAGAAAAATGCAGGGATGGCTTCGTGTGAAATCATCAGGTTCTGTAACCTATCATTTGGTTTCTCACTAGTAGCTTTTTAAAATTCCCGAACAGTCTTAGTACTTTTGTTAATATTACTATTAAAATAAGTTCCTATGGAAGAAAAGAGGGAAGTCAAGCTGTTAATAAAATGTCTTCCAATCTTTTTCTCAGAAAACCAAACATCGTACACGTACACATCAGTCTGAGTCCCACGGAGACGCGTGAGCTCTGTAACTCTTACACCATCTATACACCTTACTCTTCTGCCTTTAAAAAGGGAATCACGCAGTCATTCTGTTAGCTTAGGTTTGTGTTTTGTTTTTGTGAAGTGCTGCTGGCTTTTGGCCAAAAGTACATCAACCCCAGCTGAACCCACACGGTCACAACACTGCCAACACAGTCAAAGAATCATGGCCGTCATGTGACTTATGGTGTCTTCGAACATCGCAACGTGGTCCCTTCCGTGGGCAGCGTGCCCAGAAGCAGCTCATTCCTCTTACAAACACCCACTCAGTTGATCTCCTTGCGGTCTTGCTTCCACAGGAAGCGGATACTTGGCGCTCTGCAAGGCGGTCTGAGACCCATCAGCTGTGGAAGCTCTGCGCGGTGCTCTGTTTCTGGGAGAGCCGGAGCAGCTCCTCGCGGATCGCTTTGATGAGAGAGGCTGAGGAGTGCCCAGGCTGGAGGTCTTCTGTGGAGCTAGTGGGGTAACCAAGCCCAGGGCCCTGCAGCCCCCGGTGGGGGAGGTTCCCAGGAGGGGCTGAGGGTTCCCTGCCTGAAGTCCTTGGCACCTGAAATAGCGGTGAAGAAGAATACTCTTGATGTCCAAGCATGTGTGTCTGAAAAACATGGCAAACGTTACTGTACTTCTCATGTAAGACCAAGAGGAAAAGCAGCCAGACGAGCTCCCAGGACTTCCCCACCTGCCCCCACCCACCAACTCAAACCTTCAGTGAGGCCCCTGCTGCCCAGGTGTGTATGCAGAACTGGGTGGGTGGAGGCAGGAGCTAGGCTGGGGCTCCTGGCTCCTGGAGAGAGCAGGAAGGAGGGGTGGAGAACCCCATGGTGGGGAAAGGTCAGAGCTGCAAGAGGTAAGCAGATACTGGCAGGGAGGGTGACAAAGAAATGACTGCTTCTGCTGGAAGGGAACTCAGGGAGGGTGTGCGTGCGACCACACAGTGGGACTGTGGACCTCAACTGTGATCGCAGAATCACCTTCCATTTCGTCTGTCTCCCGCCTGCCTTTCTGTCTGGGTGTGTTTGGCAAGTGCTCCATGGAGCTGTTCCTTCACGAGTTATCTGCACTCAATCAGACAACAATTTTGCTGATATTTGCAGAATATAGATGAACTTGACATCAGTTTGCAAGAATGATTATACTTTTCAGTGTCTTCTTTTCACATTTTCTCCAGTGAAAAATAATCTCTCTGCATCTAGATATAATATCATGAAATCTGTGTACTAAAAACCTTACATTCAGAGCAAATTATTAGTGAGGTCAACATGGCATTTCAGCTCTAGATTATTTCTACATGTCAATTCTCTAAACAGTGGCAAAGAAGGGACCAGCAGTTAGCATAATGGCTATGTCACTGAACTCCCATGTAGTGGACTGCGGTTCGAGTCCCGGACCTGGTAGCTTAAACTCACGCCAGGCGCATGTGCGTGCATGCCCAAGATCCCAAGAGGAGAATAGAGGAGAGGATTGCAGTGTGCACACACCCTATTGCAAAAACCTCTCTTTCTGTCTCTATGTCTCTCTCTGTCTACCCTGGTAGTAAATGGCGGTTCGAGTCCCGAACCCGGTGGATTAAACTCAAGCCGGGCACGTGTGCGTCCATGCCCAAGATCCAGAGAGTGGAATGGAGGAGAAGGGATTGTGGCATGGCCATCCTCCCTGGGGGGTGATTTCTTGCTTTCTATCTTGGTCTTTCTGGCGAGCCCATGAGCCCTATAGCAAAAACCTCTCCAAAAAGTTAAATAAATAAATAAATAAATAAAAGAACAGTGGCAAAGAAGAGCTCCCAAGTAACTTCACAGGATTCCACAGGAAAACCCAAACTACCCCATGAAACTGAGCCGGGCACAAGGAAGGCAGAGCAAGGAAAGGGCCAGCAAACTTATAGCAGACACCTGAGAAGGCAAGTATTACATTTCTTTTAGGGGAAAACCATATTCCAAAGTAACAAAAACAGCAGGTCCTGAAAGGAACTTAGGGTGTCTGCTGGGAAGGCACAGAAATGCAGAGGAAGTTGTAGCACAATCAGAAGGGTAAAATAAAAAGTAATATTTTAGTTTGTGTTTTCAGACATCATTAATTTATTCCCCCAAGGCCATTAAATTCTTGGGGAAAATAAATCAAAGCACTTGAAGAAGTTGCTCGTGCCCAACCATATTGAGTGAGGGATTAGAAGCCTTGAAAAAGGAACACAATGAACGCAACATCATCTGTGCCTTAAAATGCCCCAAACTGTGTGCTTATTGCAAACCTATCTTCTCAGGGAGTCAGAACAGAAACCAGGCGAATAAGCACACACACAGTGAAGCACAAACAGTGTGCAAGATTAGGAATGTTTACACAGTAATTACACCGAAGATAAGGCCAGACTCGAGTCACAGGTTCAAATTCACGACTTAAAAGTCTGAAGTCAGCTTCAAGAAATACGATGTGCTTTTTAAAAACTTAATGTCAATTTATCATCTAAACACTGCAAGCAAAAACACAAGCGGGAAAAAGTGAGGGAGATTTCCTTTTCCTTTTTAGATTTTTTTTTTTAAAGATCACAAGTGTTTTTCTTAGAATTATTTTATTTAACTTTATTTATTTATATTAATTTGACCAGAGAGAGAGAGAGAGAGACAGAGAGAGAGAGAAAGTGAGAAAGCAAGCCGCCAGGTCCAGGACTTGTACCATGGTCGGTCATGTGGAAGTCCAACGCCCTTAACTACCATGCCACCTGCCAGCCCTTCCATTTTAGATTTTTGCCATAGGGTGCCCTTGCCAGAGAGAGATAAAGTGAAGGAAAGTAAGAAATCCCCCCACACACACCCGGAGCTGGCCACACTGCAATCCCTCTTCCATTCTCCTCTCAGGAGTTTTAGGCATGCACCTACACATGCCACACCAGGTGTGGGACTTGAACAGCATAGTCAGTCGTGGGATCCAGCGTCTTAACCACTATGCCACCTGCTGGTCCCCAAAGTGAGGAGTTTTATGTGCGGCAGAGCAATGAGATGCAGCGGTTATGTCTGATTTTTCAGTGCTGACCCAAGGTGAGCTACTCACCGCCTCTCTCCGCCCAGCTTCATCCTCACTGTACGAAGGCCAGCCTGGGCCTCCATACTGGCCACCTCTGCTGGGTGGCACTTCCACTGGCTGAGCTCCGATTCTGCTAGCGAGTCCCACCTGCGTCAGGTGCTGGATCTGGGAGCCTGGAAGGAACATGGTGGAATGGTCAACTCTGGAGAGTGAAGCTACCAAGTGAGACACCTTCCGTTCTGTCCACGGCATGCCTTTAAGGACAAGGGACAAGTGCGTTATTCAGACATGGCACCCATCCTATCCCAGAACTAAGATCTCCGAAGACGCATCTCCCAAGGAGCTTCTCGGTTCACATGCTTTCATTTCCTTCGTTTCTAAAGACTGACAGTGAAGTGCTTATTTTCTTGGACCAATAGCAAAGGGCTAGAGTCAAAGAGCGTAACAGCGCTCCTGCATCCATGTCTCTAGACGCGGTGAGCAAGGGCCATCTAACTGATTCGGGAGGAAGGAGTGACAGCTTTGGAGCCAGAGAAGCTGGCAGCTGGCTCCTTTGAGCTTCACGAGGAGCTGAATATACAACATGCTCTTTTTCTTAGAAGGCAGGCTCTGTATTTATTTGAATTGAGAATATTAAAGTGCATTCTTGGGATCAGCGGATGGCATAATGGTTACATCGCTGGACTCCCACATAGTTGACCGGGGTTCAAGTCCTGGAACCAGCTGCTTTAAACTCACACTGGGCGTGTGTGCATGCATGCCCAACATCCACAGAGGACAATGGATGGAGGAGAAGGGATTATGCCATGGCCATCCTCACCCCCGGGGGGCAATTTCTCACTTTCTGTGTCCCTGTCTCTCCGGTGAGTGCACACACCCTATAGCAAATATCTGTCTCTAAATTTAAAAAGGCATTCTCATCACACTCACCATTTCCCCCTCATTTATCTGTAGCCCAATTAAAGTCACTCCTTCAGCCTCCTCAGAGATCCTGCCCAGAGCCACTTCCTCACACCCAGACATCTGGAGCTCCCTGGAGGCTGTGACAGGCAGGTGTTGACACACTTTTCTCCCCATCAACTTCTGGCACACAGAATTATCCCCGTAATACAAATAAAGAGAGAAAAATCGATCTCGAGCACTGTGAAGTGAAATATGCATCTCCACATACTCCCGGGACCATCACACGCATCCACAGTGCTCAGTCTGGCTCAGCAGATGTTTAGCGTTCATGGAGGCAGGGCAGGTGGTCCTCTCCATTCTGCAGCCTGTTCCACCTCTAGCTGCCTGATCAACCCTCAGCTAAGCAGCTCTGCTGGAAACAAAGAACTCCTCAGCCGAGTTACTGGAACATACAGCGACAGCTGCAGGTCAGGGAGGGCTGTCCAGGGCCAGGTCTCCGCAGGAACGTGTCAGACACTGAACACTCGGAACCGCACAGAGGCCATCAGGTCTGGGGGGTGGGGTACTGTGTGCAAATCTCGCAAAGAGTTCTCAGCGCAGCTCTACGTCCCGTCTCTGGGGTCCAGCACAGCAGGAGAAATCGCAACTCAGACGTGACATTCTCTCCCCCTTTGTCGGCTTAACACAGGACCACAGGACGGGCTTCCTGAGCCCACACTGAGCCCGGCAGGTCGGGGTTTGCATTCCGGCTAAGCCCTCAAGACCCCCAGCAACTGGCTCCCACTCCTGCTGTGCCTAATTGCTCACTTCTCAGACAAGAGATAAAAATAAGCAAGTAATGGACCTCCCAGGTCTATTCAAGGGTTAAAAGAGATAGGAGAGATCAGGTGCCAGACACAAAGGAGTGGCTAGTCTTTAACTCCCTTTCCTGGCTTGCTAGGAACTCTTCACTTGAGAGCTGCAGGATGATCCATGGGATGAACTGACACCGTCTCACACCGTCTCACCCTCACCTGACTGGATTAACGCCGCCGCATCAAGTCTTGGCACATGCGGCTCCCCTGCCCCAGGTTTTCCATCTGAGGGGGAGGAGAACCTAGATTCCCAGAAGCAGAATTTCTAAATCAAAGGCTCATGACTCCTATTGCCAAATTGTGCTCCATAAGTTTAATAATTTACACCACCACTGGAAATAATAACAACAGCAGCTAATAATTACTGAAGGGTTCGAGCTGCCTGGCACTATTCTGAGCACTTTCCATCAATTATCTCAATCAGTAAAACTGCCACAGGGAGTGACCACTAATATCCCCCCTGCAGAGGTGAAGAAACTGGATGCTAATTTTACCCCCAGGTATTATGGTCGCTGCATGACCGGAATGGTCCCTTGGTGCCTTTTGGGAATGCAATGGCCATTTCTTTAATCATTTCCCAGACTGGGCCTTTCCCCTACGCAGGCTGTTAACTGACACACACGACACAGGTTTCTTCTCTCTCGAGTCTCTCTTTCTTGCTGACTTTTTGTTTTAAGTGGCCAGAGGGTGTGTACATTCAGCAGAGAGACAGAAAAACGTGTTTCCTGGAAGAAGCACGCTGTGGATTTCAAGCGGAGGGTTCACACCCAGGACCAGATCAGTGGCTCAGAGAGCTCAGCCCCTCTTCCCCTCCCACTCACCCTTCCTCTCTACCAGGACCCAAAGAGAAACAGCTCTGGCTGAAGAAGAGGCCTCTACAACTGGGAAATCAAAAATGGAGTTTTTTCTAATTCAAACGTAAAGCAAATGCCCTACAGTCGGCCCTCCTAACCAGTAGGCTCCACAGCTGCAGATCCAACCATGGCTCAGAGAGCTCAGCCCCTCTTCCCCTCCCACTCACCCTTCCTCTCTACCAGGACCCAAAGAGAAACAGCTCTGGCTGAAGAAGAGGCCTCTACAACTGGGAAATCAAAAATGGAGTTTTTTCTAATTCAAACGTAAAGCAAATGCCCTACAGTCGGCCCTCCTAACCAGTAGGCTCCACAGCTGCAGACCCAACCAAATGGACAGGATATACTTGAAAAAAAAAAAAGAATAAATGAAATGTAAAATAACAATGCAAGACTAAAACACAATATACATTTATAAAACAATACAGTATAGGGGCCAGTAAGTGGCATAGTGGTTAAGGTGCTGGCCCACATGGCTGACTGCAGTTCCAGTCCTGGACTCAGCACCTCGAAACTCATGCCAGATGAGTGTGTGTGTGTGTGTGTGTGTGTGTGTGTGTGTGTGTGTATGAGTATGCCCAAAATCCGAGGAGGAGAATAGAAGAGAAGGGATTATGGTGTGACCATCCCTACTGGCCGGGGTGATTTCTCACTTCCCCTCTCACAGTCTCTGTTCAGAGAGTGCATGGGCCTCACAGCAAAAGCTTTAAAATAAAAATACAGTGTAACAACTATTTACACAGCATCGACTTGGCACCAGGTGCAGATGATTTTAAGTGTACAGGAGGATGTGTGGAGGTGCGTGCAAATACCGGGCCACTTTTATACAGGGTCAGGGGCAGCTATGGAGTTTGGTACCTGCAGGCATCCTGCGACCAATCCCCTGCAGACACCGGGGACGAGGTAGCTCAGAAACACGAGCCAAGAACCCACACGTACCTGTGGTGCCCCCAACAGGCCGAGGCCGGGCCACCGATGGCACCTCCTCAGGGTAGATCCCTCGGGTAGCGAACGGAGCTTCTGCTGATGCCTGCGGCTGCGGGGGCTCAGGCGGTGCCAGCTCTGAAGACTGTAGCAAACTGGGGCCGAAACCGGGTCTGGAGGCAAAGCACAGCAACATCAGTACTCCCCAAAACGGCTCTGCTGTTCCCTCAGACTGCCCTCCACCTACAGATACGACTCCTCTGTTTTTGCTCACCCCTCTACTCCTGTGGAGCACACGGGACCACTTCTCCTGCGCCCTGAGGGCAGGGACCTTGCCATCTGTCCCCGCCCTACCTCCAGCACTAAGAACGGCACCTGGGTCAGTAGGTGGCACAGTGGCTAAGGCTCTGGATCCCACATGGCTGAACGCGCCCTTAGAGTTCTGGACCCAGCAGCTTGAAAACCATGGCTGGATATGTGTGCATGTGTGCCCCTAACCCTGAGTGAACCAAGGAGAAGGGACTGTGGTGTGGTCAACCCCCGGGGGGTGATCTCTCACTTTCCCTCTCTCACTCCCATGAACCCACTCTACGGCAAAAACCGAAGTAAAAAAAAAGACACCTGGAATACAGGTGGTGTGGACACATATTTGTTGGATGACTGGATACATTATTTCCATTTTTCAGTGGAGACTAGATGGGGTGGAGGTTAAAGCACTGGACCCCACATGGCCAGCTGCATAGTTTGAGTCCTGGACTTGGAAATCATGCGAGGCACCTGCACACGCATACTCAAAACACTGAAGAGAGACTGGAGAAGGGGCTGCAGCATGGCCAAACCCCCTCGGGAGTGATTCTCTCTGTCTCTCTGGGGAACACATGCACCCTATAGCAAAAACCTTTAAAAAAAGGTGGTGGGGGGGGAGGAAATGTTTTAATTTTCAGACCAAAGAAGGCACAGTTAAAGCTCCTGGGCCTATTAGTGTCTAGACTCTACCTGAAGCTAAGGCCCTCTAGTGGTGGGACCAGGCCACTGGTATTTCCGACATTCCACAGATGATTGGCTTCAGCCAAGGCTGAAAACCAGCATGCTATGAGAGTGGTTCTTAAACTTTTGATCCCTGGACTCTTTTTTCTTTTTAAGTATTTATTTTATTATTTATTATTTTTTTAATTTGACGAGAGAGAAAAAGAGAGAGAGAGGAAAAGTGAGAAAGCATGCTGCCAGGTCCGGGGCTCGAACCATGGTTGGGCATGAGGGAGTCTAGTGCCTTAGCCACCATGCCACCTACTGGTCCAATCTCTGGCCTCTTGTAAACTAATAAAAATTACTGAGGACTCTCAAGAACTTTTATTTATGTGGATTATATCAATATTTATAAGCTTAGATTCTAAAATATAAATTTTAAACACTTATTTTAAAAACTAACTTAAAAATAATAAGAAGACATCTATTATGTGTCACTATAGTATTTTTCATGAAATTAACTATATTCACTACTTCCCCAAATTAGTGATAAAAATGGCACTCTTGTATTTTGTTCAAATTTCCTTAATAGAAAACACCTGAATTTTATACACTTTGCATTCCATTAGTTGTTATTTTAGGAAGAAAATATGACATCAAAGAATAAGTGGTTGGAAAAGAGTATTTTAATGGACTTTTTAGAAAATACTAAAATAAGATTTCAGGTATTCTTGATACCATAACAAAACTCATCAAGTGGTTTTTTTGCCAGACAGTGCATGCACTCAACAGAGACGGTGTGAAGGAAAGTGAGAAATCGTTCCCGGTGGGGGGTGGGGGTGTGGCCACGCTGCAATTCCTTCTCCATTCTCCTCCTGGGGTTTTGTGCTGGTGTGATTTTTAAGCTATCAGGTCCAGGACTCAAACCACAGTCAGCCATGTGGGAATCCAAAGCCTTAACCACCACCCCACCTGCTGGCCCCCAAGTGGCTGTTTGTTAAGGGTCCATTGCAATACGGACTCTGACCCCGTATCAGTGAACTTTTCAGCCTCTATTACATTCAAACCGCGCTGTTTTATCTACGTTTTTAATGGATCTTTAACCCAGGCATGATTTTATGACGTTTGCCGATGGGAAAATGCTGTCTCACTGAGTTATGCAGAACTTCCAGATACGGATGTGTTTTGCTTTACCATATCAAAGACTCCTGTTCATTAATATCACCTACTGAGCTCAGCCAGAAAGGCCCGTATGTACTGGGAAGCTGTCGAGTTCACAATGGCAGATCAAAATGTCCAAAATTTGAATTTTCTCTTGAAAGCTCAATTTTATCACTGGCAACAAATGCCATCAGTTGTTTTTCTCGAAGTGACAGGCTCACTTCATTGACTCAGGAGTGCCTGTCAAACCTCTAAGTCCGAGTAAGTCTGAGTGACAATGTCGGTTGGTTGCTCGTTCAAATAAGCAGTACGGAAGGAGTTCCGTTTAGTGCCAACTCAAACACTCGGACTTCAAATCCCACATCCAGCAGATGTGCTTACAGATACTTTCCCTTCTGTCACACAGACTGTTAAAGACTCAAGGGTCTAAATTTAATAATTTTTAGAGGGTTTTGCCTTAGGGCATGTACATTCACCAGAGAAAGATACAGAGACAGTGAGAGGGAAAGTGAGAAATCAAACCCCCCCCCCAAGGGGGGTGGCCACCCTGCAATTCCTTCTCCATTCTCCTCCCAGGATCTTGGGCATACATGTACATGCACCTGGTGTGATTTTCAAGCTACCAGATCCAGGACTCGAACTATGGTAGACCATGCGGGAGTCCAGCAACATGTCATCTGCTGGTCCCAAAACTAGTGATTTTTTTTAATTGCCAGAGGGTATGTGAGACTGCCGGAGAGGGAGAAAGAAAGAGAGAGAGAATTCCCAATAGGGAATTCCCTTCTCCATTTCTCCATCCTGTCAGGATCTGGGACGATCTAACCTAACTCCCATCTCCACCCACGCACACAAGCCTGGTGTATTTTTGAGCCACCAGGGCCAGGATCTGAGCAGTGGACAGCCATGCATGACCCAGCTTCTCATGCACTCAGCCAATGCAGTACAGGGCTTGCCCTCCCCACCCCAAATCACTCACTTTCACTACTTCATCTCGGACACGCTCACATAAAGCTGGCACTACTGTAACTGAGTGTACATGTCAGTGAAGAACAGATACTGTCCCACGACTGGGGGGTGCTGCCCACAACAGGCTGGGGAGCAGCATCTTTCTTCCCAGTGCTTCTCCACCTCTGCACAGATGCCAACACAATGAAACAGGCAAGTGACACCTTAATATTATTATGAAGGCAGTTTTGACCTCATGCACCTCCTAAAAGGATCTCAAGGTCCCTTAGGGACTTAAGAAGCCACCTTCAGAGCCATTTTTCTAAAGAAATTCAAGAGCTAAAAAAAAAAATCGAGGACTATTAGAGCCAGTCATTTGCAAATGATACTCAGCCAGTAATTAACTGATCAAATGAGCTTGATGAGAATGTAGACCAGCATGCCCTTATTTCAGTGTTATTTCTGGATTACAGTTCATTAAATGAAACCCAGACTATTAATATTGCTCTCCTTAAATAACTGCTGCTGTTTTAAATTGACCTCGGAGAGACAGAGAGATGGCTGACATCCCTGTAGACCGAAGAGTTTAGCACGAGGCACACTCCACCTTCAAGGTCTGTAAATGGGAGCTCACCTAACCTGACCCCTGTCTCTGGACCATCCACCCAGGAACTAGCTGTTCCCTTTCACTAATTCATTCCACTTTCCCTCCCTCCTGTCTACATGCACATGCTTTTTCTATAGGATACACGTGCTCACCAGAGAGACAGACGTAAAGCAAGAAATCACCCCCCAGAGAGAATGGCCATGCTGCAATCCCTTCTCCCCTATTCTCTCGGGATTTGGGGCACACACATGCCTGGTGTGTTTCAAGTCACCAGGTCCAGGACTCGAACTGCGGTCGTCCACATGGGAATCCTCCACTTTAACCCCATGCCACCTGCTGGCACTATGCCCATCCTTTTATCCTATATCATGAGCACAGGCATTTCAGTGTAATCCCAACCCTCTAGATTCTTTTAACTTGGGGGACGATAAAAGTTACTAATAACTGGGACTAACCCAGGCAAGCCAGAGCATGTGGTTCCACCATCACCTTTAACTGCCTCCCTGGATTCCCTGAGCCCCTAAAGCTCCCCTTACCACCCTCACCTTTGCTTTGCCTTTTTTGTTTGTTTTTTTGACCACAAAGTTGTGCCTGTTGTGTGTGTGTGTGTCTGTGTGTGTGTGTGTGTGTGTGTGTGTGGAGGGAGGGGGGGCTGGAGAGACATAAAGCAAACCCCTCTGAAAATGAGGAAGTATAAAGAAAAGTAACAGAGAAAGTAAGGAGAAAACAAATAGCATTCCTACATGTGTGTGACTTCCGCCCACTGAAAGGAGAGTTGAATTGGATTTCTGAGATTCACTCTGTTTTTCCGCAATTCCTTCTTAGTAATGAGCCGGTTGTCCACACATGCCTGGGTTTGTTTATGGACTCTCTGTTTAGTTCTATTGGTCTATTCTGTCTAGTCTTACAGTAGTACCATTTATTATAATCCTAATACCTTATTATTTCTCAAACTGTTTTGACTATTCCTGGACTCTTTTCACTTCTATATGTATTTTAGATCAGTTTATCAGTTTCTACACATTGACAAAAAATGGCAGCCTTGAATAGGATTATATTGAATCTACAGATCATTTGGAGGAGAACTGACATTTTTAAAATGTTAAGTTCTGGGCCAGAAAATGGCACGATGGTTAGGGCAGCATGATCCCACATGGCCGACTTCACAGTTTGAGTCCAAGACCACGTGGTTTGAAAATCACGCCAGATGCACATGCGTATGGAGGAGGAGGGATTACGGCATGGTCATTCCCCGAGGGGGACGATTTCTCACTTTCTCTCTCTGTATCTCTCTCCGGCAAGTTCCTGCACCCTATAGCAAAACTAAGAAGATTAAATTATCTAATACATGAACGTCTTTCCTCGGAAGGGTTAAACAACATCTTGAGTGAGATTTATTGTAAGGTATTTTATATTTTTGAATGTTATTTTAAGGGGTATTTTGATTTTTAAAATTTTCTGTTTGTTGTTTATATACAGAAGTAAAACAGATTT